GATGATCCCCACAGACTGGTCCAGTACACAAGGAAAAAACACATCACCTCTCCCCAGGGAGGTACAAGCCCCCATGCCCCAGGCAGCACGGAGGGCAAAGGTTGCCTGCAATTCTCCTGGTGGGGTGGGGGTGGAGGAGGGAAGCCTGCCGAGGGCCCAGCTAAGTCCCAGCAGCAGCCCTCGGGGCCTGCTTTGCTCTGGCTGTAACTCCCTTCCCCAAGCCCAAACCTCTCTTCAGACAGCCTGGGATTTGGGATTCCCTGAGGATGAAGGGGCTGGGGGCAGGAATGGGGCTCCCACGAAGCACCTGCCACACAGGAGGTGTGTAAGGATCCTGGAGGCTCAGCCACGCCAGGGTCTTGAACAGGAGCCTGGGCCCAGAAAGGCTGCCACCGGCCCGGAGAGGACCCAGGGCCAAGAAGCAGGCTGAACTGGCCACCAGGGCCACCGTCTCCTCTGAGGGAGGGTGGCAGCCCCCACGTCCCCGCTCCCGCCTGGCCCTGCCGCCTGCCTACCCTACCTTGGCGAGGTGCTTGGCGATGCCACGCCCACGGTAGGCATCTGGGACCTCGGTGTGCTGCAGGTCCACGATCCGCTTGCCCACGTACTCATAGAGCAGGACGGCCCGGTCATGACATCCTGGGGGTTGTGGAGACAAGTAAGCCTATGCTGACTCCCATCCCAGTGGACTCAGGGGCAGAGGCTGGGGTGGAGGGACAGGCATCGGGGGCCATTCAACTGCTACAGCTAAATCCTGAATAACCTCTCGGCGCCTCAGTCCCCTCATCCATAAAGTGGGGATACAATAAAATGTCCTTCATAGGGTGGTTTGGAGAATTAAATGAGGTAACCTCTGTGACATGCTTACAGCAGTGCTTAGAACACCTGAACCTCTGCTACTACGTCAGTCTTAGCATCCCAGAGCCCTACCACCCCTTCTGTAGCCCTGCTCTCTGCATCCCCAACCCACCACACCCCCGGATCTGGCCCCAGGACCCAGCATGGGACACAGAACAGGGCTCAGCAAATCTGCGACTAAGGCAGAGCATGAAGAGACAAGAGAGGCAGCGCTGTGCCACGCATCAGGACCACCTGCTGGACCCTGACCGAGATGCAGCAGGCAAGATCAGAGGCCCGTGGCAGAGTCCATGACGCTGGACACGGGAGACAGTAACAAATGCGTCTTCACACTCCACCAGGCCTGCCAGGCCTGGAGCTCACCAGTCCACCCCAAACTCCTGCTGGGCAAACAATGAACTGAAGTTTTTCCTAACCACAGTTTTCAGTGTCTCATCTGTTTGCCTGTCCACCTACCCATGCATCCATCGACCCACCCATCCACTTATCCATCCACCAAATGTTTCCTGAGCCCCAGGTACTGTTTCAGATGCTGGGAATATAGCAGCAAACAAGCCAGACAAGGAGTCCTACCCCCATGAAACCGAAACGGGAGAAAGAATAAACATGAAAAGCAAGTGGATGGGTAGGATGCCAGGGAATGGGGGCAGGTGAAGACAGGAAGGAGAGGGCACCAGCCATTCTGAGGGAACGGTGTTCTGGGCAGAGGGAACAGCCAGTGCAAAGGCTCTGAGGCAGGAGTGGGCCTGAATGAGGGGCAGCTGGAGTGGGGTGGGCGAGGGGAAGGGCAGAGATGGGGGCAGGGAGGTGATAGGGCAGGTCCTGCAGAGCCTCCTAAGCCTTCTGAGCTGGGCGCCACTGGAAGCCCCTCAGCAAAGGGACGGATGCGATTCACGGATCCTGCTGCCACTGTGGGGAGAACGGATGGGGAGCAGGGGCAGGGAGCCCGGAGGGTGAAGATGGAACACAGACCAGGGCGGGGGCAGTGTGGCTGTGTGGAGCAGTGTTTTCACTGGATGGTATCTGAAAGTGTAACCAGCAGGATTTACTGATGGCTCGGATGTGGTCGAGCAGGGAAAGGGGAGTCTAGGATAACACTGAGGTTTCTAGTTTCAGGGAGCGCCAAGTGTGTGAATGAAATAAACAAGCTGGGAGGGGGCCGTCAGGGAGGCCCCTCCAATGGAGAGGAAGTCACCGTGCCCAGCTCAGTGGCCCTCCGTCTCTCCTTTGATTCTCCCCGAAGCCTCTGAGTTGAGAGGGGAGTGCCGGGAAGGTGGTGCAGGGGCATGGCCAGGGCAAAGGTTCCAAGGTGGGAGACTCAACACGCTGGCACTAAAAGAAGACATTCATCGCCACGTGTCTTTCTCCACTCTTTAAAAGCACGCTGTGTTTCACGTGCTTTAACTTCAAAGCCCCAGAGAATCTGCCCCTAAAGCCTGCGCTGGGTGACACGAGGGGAAGGCTGACGGGCCAAGAGGTCCAACCACTAGTCCAGGGCCACCGGAACCGGGGCCAACGGCAGCAAGGAGGCTTTCTGGCCCTTGGTCTCTCCTTTGATTCTCCCCAAAGCCTCAGGAGATGGCTACAATTCATCTCCCCATTTCCAGAGGAGGAACTACTGAGATCCAGGGATCCAAGTCACACAGCAGGCCGAGATGACGCTGGAGCCCAGGCCTGCAGGTCCTGAGCCACAGCCATTCGTTCTGCTCCACCAACACACCTGCTACGTCCTGCATCTGCCATCGCCTAGGCATTTCCCTCTGACCGATGCCCTTTCCCCGTTCCTGCCAGACCCAGCTGAGGGTTCCCCAGCCCCACTCCCCTCATGCCTGCAGCCCCGCCCCCGCACCGGCCCTGCTGCCCCCTCCTTGTGGGCCTGACTGTCCTTCTGTGGACTGTGCCTGCCACCCTGGCCAAGGCCCAGCTGTGGCCACTGCCGCCTGTCCTGGCTGCAGAGCAAGGGATGTGGTTCTTGGCTCCCCACCTGCTGGGGTTAATTCAACTCACCCAGGACAGGCGAGCAGAGAGAGGAGGCTATTTTGAGACTGACCCGGTCACCAAGGGAGCTGCCTACCTAACCTGGCCATTTAATTACCCCAGGCTCATGAAGGGCCTACTATGTTCCAGCAGGGTTTGGGCTGCAGGGCAGGCAGCAGTGACCAAAACTGATGAAACTCTTCCTCATGGATCTTACCTACTGAGGAAGACACATAATAAGTAATATAATCATAAATAATACAGGGGCCGGGCACGGTGACTCATGCCTGTAATCCCAGCACTTTAGGAGGCAGAGGTAGGAGGATCGCTTGAGCCCAGGAGCTGGAGACCAACCTGGGCAACATGATGACCCAGTCTCTACAAAAATAAAAATAAAAGTTGGCCAGGCACAGTGACCCACTCCTATAATCCCAGCACTTTGGGAGGCCAAGGCGGGCGGATCACCTGAGGTCAGGAGTTCGAGACCAGCCTGGCCAACGTGGTGAAAGCCCATCTCTACTAAAGATACAGAAATTAGCTGGGCGTGGTAGCGGGTACTTATAATCCCAGCTACTTGGGAAGCTGAGGCAGGAGAATCACTTGAACCCGGGAAGCGGAGACTGCAGTGAGCCGAGACCGCACCATCGCACTCCAGCCTGGGCAACAAGAGCAAAACTCCATCTAAAAAAAAAAAAAAAAAAGGGTAGCTGAGCATGGCGGTACACACCTATGGTCCCAGCTATTTGGGAGGCTGAGACCGGAGGATCACTTGAGCCCAGGAGTTTGGGGCTGCAGTGATATATGATTGTATCACTGCACTCCAGCCTGGGTGAGAATGAGACCCTGTCTCTAAATACATACATACATACATCACAGGTGATAAGCTGACAGGTGCCAAGGATCACTACACAGCAGAGGAGGGGTGGGTGGGGAGGGGCAGGGCTGCCACTGTAAAGAGGGCATACAGGGACCCCAAAGGAGATGTGGGGTATGAGCCATCCACTGGCGAGAACAGCATGTGCAAAGGCCCTGGGATAGGAGGTTGAAGGAAGAGCAAGGAGGCCAGAGTGGCTGGGCCCGAACAAGCCGGGGGTGAGGATTGGGAAGCCAAGTCAGAGATCCTGGGGCCAGACCACACAGAGCCCTGCAAGCCACCAAAAAGAGCTCAGCTTTTGCTCCAGCACAGTCCCTGCAGAGCAGGGAGGTAGACACCAGAAGCCTGGCAAGCTCATTTCTGCTCCTCTGTGCACGCCTTGCGTCAGCGTTTCTGGAGTAGCCACCTGGGCCGTGGATGGGCCTGACCCTGGGAGGCCTCTGCTTCCCATTGGCCCTCAGTGATCGCACAGCTCAGCCACTACCATATTCCAGGCACCCAGCTCAGGGTAGACACCCAAGAAATATTTGTCCAACTAAAACAACTGCTGTTCTGTCTCTGCCAGACACACACTAGGGCCTTGCGGCAGACCTGTGGACAACTGGCTGGACCAGCGTGCCGGCCTTCCCACAGCCGGGCCCGCACCTCGGGCTGTGGCTCCCAGGAGACAGCAGGACAGGAACGGTGGTGGCCCAAGCGTGTGCAGCCCCAGGATGGGGCAGGCTTGTGCTCTGCTCTCTCCACACGACAATCCTCACAACCATCCCATTAAACAGGGAGGATTCTCACAGCCCCATGTACAGATGGGGAAACTGAGGCCCAGGAGGGAGGAGGGTGGTGGTGATCGTCCCGGGACAGGTGAGGTCTCTGGGGCAGAGAGGTGTCGGGACTGGCGTAGGATCTACACCTGGCAGAGTTGAGACTGGAGAACTGAGGGCCCTGCCCTGCCCTAGGCTTGCTCCTGTGGCTCCCAAGTGACAAGTACTAACCCCGTCTGTTCTAGTCTGAGGTCTGGAACTCTCAAGGCAGCTCTTAGAGCCTAGCCCAGATAAGGGCCTGGGGCCTGGGCCAGGCCCAGAGGCTGTGCCTGTGTCACTGTGAGATGAGACAGCAGGATCCACGGTGCCCAGAAATGAACGCGTGGCTGACAGTGCTGCCCTGGTGTCCTGCTCCCATCATGGGGGCTTCGGGCGGTCAGGGGAGGCCTCTGGACAGGTCATGGTTGGGCTCACCCGGAATGAGAGTCAGGGAGGTGTGTGGAGTTGATGGGCGACAGGGCTGAGTCAAAGGAGGGTCTTCAGGCTGAAAGGGGAACAGAGGGTATCTGGGGTGGCCCTAGTGGTGGTGGGGCTACATGTGAGGAAAAGATCAAGTTTAAATGGACACCCTACCTGGGCCAGACCACATGGCAGTGGGTGGCGAGGAGCCAGGCTCCTGGGCGGCAACCTCAGAGCATCCGGCCAGGGCCTGAACCCCACCTTGGAGGGCCTTCAAAGGCCACCCAGTCACAAGTGTCTACACCCACAACACAGCCCATAAATGCAATACCGGTTCTCGCGCTCAACTCCTTGTCCTGCCCCAAACCTGTCTGGAGATCCCAGGAAGATGCCCAAGTCCCCAAAGCTTGACCAAGGTCCTTGGCTCCTCCTCGCCTTGCCTTTCTCATCTGACCTGACCCTCGGCAGGGCTGTGGACACAGCTTTCTAAACGTGCCTGGGGTCCAGCTGCCTCTCTGGCCACCCTGCTTTGGTGGCTGTTCCCCTGCCTGCCACCTTTCTGCCTGGGGCCTCCGGGAACCCTTCCTTCTCATTCCAGGTGAGCTCAAAGGTCACCTGCCCAGAAGCCTCCACTGGCCGCCCGCAGCCCCCATGATGGGACAGCAGGACACCAGGGCAGCACTGTCAGCCACGCTTTCATTTCTGGGCACCGTGGATCCTGCTGTCTCAGCTCACAGCGACACACGCACAGTCTCTAGGCCTGGTCCGGGCCCCAGGCCCTTATCTGGGCTAGGCTCTAAGAGCTGCCTTGAGAGCTCCAGACCTCAGACTAGTACAGAGGGGGTCAGTACCTGTCACCTGGGAGCCGCAGGAGCAAGCCTAGGGCAGGGCAGGGCTCTCAGTTCCAGTCTCAACTCTGCCAGGTGATCTTACGCCAGTCCCGACATCTCTGCCCCAGAGACCTCACCTGTCCCGGGACGATCACCACCACCCTCCTCCCTCCTGGGCGTGAGCACCCCACCAGCATCATGTGGCTGGTCTGAGAAAAGTTAAAGCTACTCTGCTCGTGGGGAACCCGTCCCTGGGTCTCTGTACCCCCATGCTCTCTCTGCCCCTCCCCAACCTCAGGACCAAAGCGGGCCACGAAATTGTCAGGGGAGGCGATCACAGAGAAAGACCAAAGCTTGCAGACAGGCGACAGGGGCAAGACCTCTGGGAGATGTGGAGTCTGCAGAAGGTGTTGACCTCTGCTTTCTCCACTCGGCCCACACCCACCCTGCAAGAAGAGCTGGCGGATCAAAATATACAGATGAGGACACTGAGGCAGACGGAGGCAGAGCCCAGGCTGCCGGAACGGTGGCCCTGGACAAGGACAAGCAGACACCCTGGCTGGCTTTTCCGGCACCTCTGTAAGTAGAGCCTGGATCAGAGAGGAGCCACATGTTGGTGGCTCATTGGTGGATTAGGCAGAGGGAGCTGTGAGCCTGGAGAGGCTCAGCCATAGGTCCCTCCCCTCCCCAGAGGACTCTGGTCTAGCCCAGCCCAACACAGCCAGGGGCCTCATACTGGGGCTGTGATCTGAGCACCTCCCAAGGCCTGGGGCTGTGGTCTCAGCTCCACTGCATCCAGGGGTGCTGAGGGAGGCCAGGGGCAGCAGCTGACTCTCTGGGGCCTCAGTCTTCCTGTCTGCAAAATGGGGGTTAGGGAGGATGCAGAAAGTTCCACGGTTCTGCAACCTTCAAGTGTCCCTTCCCTTACAGCAAGTGGGACACACAGCCCTGCCTGTGAGGGAGAGGGAAGGCTGAGGAAGGGGCTGCCCAGGAGGTGGGGGGTCTCTTCCAGCTGCCTCCAACTTTCAGAAATCATCCTCAGATGGAGGCTAGGGGCTTGATTCTGGCTTAGCTGCCTACAGGCTGTGTGCTTTGGTTTCCCCATCTACGAAGTGATGACAAGCTTGCATTTCAGAACGGGGATGTGGGATCAGACAAGCCCGAGCTCAAGCCTTCCTCTCATCACCCAAAAGCAAGTCACAGCCATGCTTCTTTCCACATCTGTCCAGGATTTAGGCGTTTCTCCCACGCCTCGTTGCAGTGCCTGGACTAGTGAAGTAACCACCTCCCTGCTCTGTCCTGGTCCTCACAGTTTGCTCCCCTTAGAGCAGCAGCCAGAGGGAGCCAGGGCATCCCGTCTTTCTTCTGCTCAGGACCGTCCTAGGTGCCTCAGAGTCAAAGCCAAGCCCACAGGACAACGGCCTCCAGGCCCTGCACCACGTGCTCCCCATGACCCCTCGATCCATCCTGCACACACCAGGCATCGCAGGCACTGCAGAGCTTTGCTCTTGCTGTTCCCTCCACTTGGAACACTCTTCCCTCTTGTAGCTCTGTTTCTTGACTCCTTCGGGTCTTCACTGAAATGCCATCCTCCAGGGAGGGGCGTCCTGGACACAAGATTCTAAATAGCAGCCCTGCCCAACACAGCCTCACCTTTGCCCCCTGCACCTCTCATGAGAGCCCTTGTTTTCCAGGATACATTAAAACTGACTCTATTTCTTGTCCATTTCCCTCTCTGTCAGCCACACGAGACCCCAACACCTAAGAGTGCTTGGTACACGGTAGGCGCTCAACAAATACTTACGGGGTGAATCACAGCTCCTCCACCTCTGTGGTGCAAGACTT